AGTTCCTCCAAAGCCTTTTGGCACTCTGGGGTCCAGGTGAAGTCGCTTTTATTCTTTAGTAATGAGAAAAATCGATGGCTATTATTCGACGACCTAGAAATGAATTGGCCCAACATGGCTATTCGCCAGTCAGTCTTTACACTGACTTGACGTTGTTAACCATAGTGATATCTTCTATGGCCTTTATCTTATCCAGGTTGATTTCTATTCCCCGATTAGATACCATGAAATCGAGGAACTTACCCGAGCCGACTGCACTTCTTCAGGTTCAACTTAATGTTGTATTCCCTTAGTAGGTCGAAGGTTCCCTGCAAATGCCTCAAATGGTCCTCTGCTCACAGGGACTTAATTAACATGTCATCAATATAAACCTCCATTGATTTCCCTCTCGAACATTCGGTTAACTTGGTGTTGGTATTTGGAACCGACATTTTTTAACCCAAAGGGCATCACATTATAACAAGAAGTGCCGAACCTAGTTATAAAGAAGTTTTCTCTTGGTCCGTCGGGTCCATACATATTTGGTTGTACCTAGAATAGGCGTCGAGAAAGCTCAGCGTCTCGTGTCTTATCGTTGCATCGATCATTCGATCGATGTTAGGCAAAAGAAATGAGTCCTTTGGGCATGCCTTATTCAAATCCTTGTAATCTACATACATTCTAAATTTATTTTCCTTTTTAGGTACGAACACTACAATAGATAACCAATTTGGGTATTTAACTTCTCGAATGGAACCAATTTTTAAAAGTTTAGATACCTCGTCCTTGCTGAATACGTGTTTGACCTCGGACTGTGGCCTCCTATTCTGTTTAACTAGATGGAAGCTCAGATCCAAACTCAATTTGTGAGTTTTTATCTCTGGTAGAATTCCTATCATATCTAAGTGGGACAAGGCAAAACAATCAGTGTTAGCTTCAAGAAAATCAATAAGTTTTTTCTTGAGCTTGGGGGTTAACCTCGTGCCCAGGTATACCTTCCTATCTGGCAGATGATCAAATAGTATGACTTGTTCTAGTTCCTCATATGTTGACTTGGTTGTGTCGGTGTCATCAGGTGCCACGAAGGATCTTGGGACCCCGAAGTCGTCTTCCTCATCTGTTGGGTGTTCCTCCCATTTTTCCATCTCGGTCGGGGCCGAGACTTGTGATTGTTATTTTGTGCCTTTCTCTTCGATCGATCCCTTATCTTTTGATGTAGTGATCGCAGGTACTGGGATCACTTCTTCGACGGAGAACATCTTCTTCGTAGCCGGTTATTCCCTGTAAAATGTTTTGATTCCATCTGGGGTTGGAAATCTCAACACTTGGTGCAAGGTCGATTGTACTGCCCTCATGCTATGAATCCACGGTCTTCTGAACAAGGCTTTATACCTTATGTCCCTCTCGATCATATAGAACTTTGCTTGTTGAGTAGTTCCGGTGTGTTGACCGGTAGGGTGATTTCTCCCTTTATTTTCTTGCATGCCATATTGAATCCGTTCAGCACTCGAACTACTGGTATGATATGGTATAACAGCCCTAGTTATTCCACGAATCTCCATTGGATAATGTTGGTCGAGCTGCCTGAATCAATTACACGCGCTTAACTCGAGATTTATTAATAAGTATAGATATTACCATTGCATCTTTGTGAGATTGGATGATGCCCTCAACATCCTCGTCACTAAACGAGATAGACCCTTCCGAAACATAATCTCGAGTTTGTTTTTCTCTTGTGATGGAGACTTTGGTGCGTTTTATCATCAGTCCTTCGTGAACGTCTACTCCTACGATAATCATATTAGTCACATGTTGGGGCTCTTGCTGCTCGACCAGCTTGTTGGCGTTCCTGTTCCTGAAACTGTTTTGGCTTGCTCTCCTAGGATTCTCGAAGATGCCCATTATTGAACAAATGATCCATCTCTTCCCTTAACCGTTGACAATCCTCGGTTCTATGTCCGTGAGTATCGTGATATTTACATATCAAATTGTGATCCCTCTATGTCGGATTAGACTGGAGCGACCTCAGTCATTTGGTCTCCTTGATGCGATCGATGATTGACACTATGCTTGTTGCATCTATGTTGAAGTTATATTCTGATAGCCTCGGGGCATCTCTGACTCTTGGTGATCTGTCGAGCCTGTTTCTATTAACCAACCCTCGATTGCTCGGACCCTAATCATTTATTTTGATGTTCTTGGTCGAATAGCGACTGGGACTGTTTCCCTTTTTATCTGAGTTGTAAGGCTGGTATCGGTCTCGGGGTGGCCTCAACTCCTGATCCAATACTCTTCTAGACTTGTCGTTCACTTTACCGGGATAAACTGACCCCGAGGGGGTCCCTAATTGGTCGTCCTTGACTCTGATCTTTGATTGGTACCTGTTATGGATATCGGCCCGGGTAACCGCTGGATATTATATGAAATTTTGCTTCAGTTGTTGAGATGCAACCAAACTTCGTGGGTTGAGCACCTGAGTAAATGCCTGAATGGCACAATCATCTGCAACCGGTGGTAGGTCCATCTGTTCCATTTGGAACCTTGACACGAATTCCCTGAGCATTTTGTTGTCCCTCTGTTTGACTTTGAACAGGTCCGATTTCCTCGTCTCAACTTTAATGGCTTCAGTATGAGCTTTAACAAAGGCATCTACAAGCATAGCAAACGAATCAATCGAGTTTTGAGGTAAATTATGATACCGTATCATCGCTCCCTTGGGTAGGGCTTCCCCAAATTTCTTCAACAACACCAACTCGATCTCATCATCCTCCAGTCCTTTCACTATTGGAGGTGCCCCCGGGATCTGATCGACCCTCAAGTTGAAGGTTTTTACTTTCTTATCATTTGCCTCTATCTTCTTTTCGCCAGATTCTACCCATTTTGTCTGTGCCTCTAGCATTTTCATCACCTCGGAAGTTTCCCCAAATCCGGAACCGTTGGGCTCTATGACTCTATTCTTCCCTTCGGGTGTCTTCTCCAATCCGTTCGGGTTCAACCATATTGTGTGTGTGATTTTGATTCTGTAGCTGTGTTATGGCAACTTGTTGGGCTTGCAACATCTCAAAAATCAAACGTAAGCTAACTCCATCGCCTCCTCAGTCGGGCGCTTCACGAACTGATGGCTGAGGTGCCCCGTCAATGATGTTATTGGGATCGGTCAATAGGTTAGTATTGACAGCAACCTGTGAGTTGGCATCGACCGGATTAGCGATTGGAACATCGTTAAGGTCGACAGGGGGTACATTGTTGCTAGGTATCCTGTTATTATTTTCACTGTGGTGGCCTGAATCGGTATCAACACTTAAGTGAGTAGACGCCAAACTGTTTACCCTTTAAATGGATATCAATTAAATTTGTATGCAGTTTAAAGGATATGTGGTTTAGTTTAAGACAGATGATCAAATAATAGTAAATAGTTGAATTGAAATGAGATAAACAGTCAAACGAAAATGACGTAGTAATTAAGCCTTGTGTTTAGCTTAAATGCCAATAGTTGGTCTCGATTGAACCCTCGAGATAGAGATCGAATCTGAATAAATGAGTGAACAAATGAAGAACACTTAAAACAATTATTGAGAGCCAAAATAAATTCTAGTACCTTGTTATACAAAAAAAGCAGTGCCAAAAAATAAAGGGTCCTCCTCTTTGTACAGTAGAGGGGTTTAACCCTAATACAAGTCTAAATAAGGTAAAAATCTTTTCCTTCCTTCTCTCCCACGAAAATATGATCCACATCCAATACCGAGCGTGATCCACGTCGTAATACCCGGTTGATGGCGAATATTTAGGCTCTCCGTTTGTCTCCTTTAACTGCCTTTCCTTTACCCTCGATTGTTCATCTCACTTCTCTCCGGGTTCGGCCATGTTTGAGACCCGTTATATGATTTGTCAGTTCCTTGTTCCGATCCATGGGTATCTTCGATCTCACTTGAGCCAATAATAAGTAACGTCGTTCTTCGTTTCACAACGGGAAATCGGGAGTAACTCTACCCTCGATTTTACCCGTAAACAGTTTCTATTGCATAGATTTCAATTGACAAAATTAATTCGTTATGAAATGTTTTTATTGAAATGAAAATGCATATTGTCTTACCATGATTCTTAAAAGTTTGGCCCCACTTTATGATTGAGGGGGTGTATGATACATATTGAGTACTTGTACTTTATACTCACGTCTCTTGCTCGGGGTTGTTACATCTCTTTCATGGAAGCACGTATTGAGATTCAAGATGATGTGGTTACCCGCTAGGCGACTCCGTCTCTTCTCCAGCTTATTATGGTGATACTGCTTCAGTAGGTATTTTATAGTCCAAGTTTTATTTATCAAGTAATCCTTGTGAGCGAAAATCCTTATTTCCCTTGAAATACTCCTCAAACTATTTTTTAAATTTCAATATCATGTTGAAGTCAAAATGATGCATATTTAATATTGGTAAAATAATATAGGCAATTATAAGAATTAATGAGAGCGAATGAAATTTATTAAACATTAACATATGAAAGAAAAGGCTTAACATTTTTAATTAAAAAAATAATCGGATACATTAGGTATTATATTACATCATATAATATAGTACTTAGCCAATTTGCAGTCGCACAATTTAGGCCGACACAGCGCGGCAGCGCCTAGGTCCTTCAGCCTAATTTTCGCCATTGCGCTCTCCATTCACGATGGCGGACTCAATCTGATTTCCTTTTTTTTCTTTCTTTTGGTTAAGCTTTTGCTGAAAGTCATGTTGAACTACAATCTTTTTTCTTTTTCTTTTTTTATTTTTTGACAAAGTATGTTGTGTGAGCACGTGATTTTTGCCCTGTACGAATTACTCCCAAAGAATTCAAAATAAAATAATTTTTATTTTTGTATGCAATTTTGTAAATTTTCATGATATTTTCTGTTATTGTTTGCATTTCTTTGTGCATGTTTATTTGTAAAATTAATGAAAAATACAAAAAAAAAATATTGTAGTTAATTTTAGGATTTACTTTGACATTTTGAAATTAATTAATAAATATATGAAAATTTAAAAAAATAGGTATTTTGCATTTTTAATGTTTAAGTTAAATTGTGTGATTTTCTTTTAATTCGATATTTAGGTATTTTGCATTGAACTCTTATAAGAACTTGAATTGAAACTGTGTTGATCAATTGTTTGGACTACACTTCCGTTAAAAATGCTTGGGACATAATAATATTAGTTAATAAACACTAAGTTAGTGAGATTGTAAAAAGGGAAAGACAACTAGTAGTGAAGACAACACTTGCTGATTTTAAGGGTTAAAGATAGTATAGTTAATTGTTCACTAAGGCTTAAAATAAAAATAAAAAAAAGATTTGAAAGCTTATAAGACACAGAGACCCTTCCTCAAAAAGGGAGGAGCGGCGATTCCGATTTTGGCTCTTCTTCCTCATTTTCTCGTGGGCATCAGGAGAGAACCAGAAAAAAAAAACAATCCTCTCTCACTCCTAAGAACGACCAGACCTCTCTCACTCCCTCCCCATTTTCTTTTTCTCACTCACACACGCAAAGTCATAACAAAAATAGTTAAAATTTCTGAGTTCAAGCTTTACACTCTAGATTTAAAAAAAATACATCTAAAGAAAGAGTAAAATAAGAGTGGTCTCAATTTCTGCTGCACTACCTTGTGATTTCTGAGATTTTGAGCTATCTTTTGGGCTTGGAATTGAAGCCGCTCTTGCTGGGTTTGTTGTGGCTGAACATTGGCTGGACTAGTAGTTGATTCTTCATACCTAGTTTCTCTTTGACCTTTATTTGGTCGTGGATTCTCTGTTTGATTTCAAGTTACTAGGTATGTGACTATACCTTTGAGTTTTGTTAAAATGTTAATCAAAAATCTGAGTTACATGTTAGTTTGTTATTTGATATGAGATTTATCCACACTGGTGTTAGTTTGTGCTTGTTATAAATATTCATGCCGTCACTTGTTTGAGTATAATACAGAGTATTGAAATAGTCTTTAAGAGTTCTGCTCGTTGGTGAGTTTAATGCTTATTTCCTATCTCAAATTCTGGTGGCCAGATTTTGAAAGAGAATATGGCTTCTTTGGGGCAGCTCCTTCAAGTCATTTTTCCTTTAAAAAATGGTGTATATTATACTGATACATGGGGTGAAAATGATCACTCCTTTAATTACCTCCCTTGGTCTCTACTCTTGTTTAACTCTTGAAATTGTTGTCGAAGGCACAATACTTAAATAAGTAAAGGTGAAAATAAAAAAATAAAAAAAGCAAAACAAAATTCCATAAAGAAAAGAAACAGAGGGATGTATATGCTTAATTACTGATAGTTGTTTTATTATGTATGTTATCACTTAAGTTTAATATGAACCTGACCTATCTGTGTGCTCTTTCAAACATAATTCAAGAAGAGTTAGAAGTTGCTCTTTCCAATTCAATCACAATGGGAAAATATTTATATAGTTACTGTTGGCATGGACATAAAATGTGAAAGGAGCAAATTTGGCTTCAAAGATTTAGCTTGAATGTTATAAACACTTGTTGCTTCCGGTCAAGTATATTGTTTAATCCTCACTGT